ATAAAAGAAATAGAATTTGGTTTACCAAAACCCATAAATCTGTAGTTCCAAAAAGTAAGGCTTTGCCATTCTTATCGCAAGCTTTCAGAAAAAAATAAAACAACCCACTCTCATGCATCTACAGAGAAAATAATCATAACGTCAAAAATAGGAATTGTAAATAACAAGACACCCACCACATCCACTAAAAATAAAAAATTGGTAAAAATTTCCCATGGTTAGTAATCCCCTAAAAAAAAAAAAAATAGATAATTCATTGCTTGCCTATTGTTAAAACTCATTGTCTTCGTGGAAAACACGTAGAAAAAAAAAGAAAAGGTATTTAAAAAAAAAAGCGATTAAAAGAAAGGTGCCGATTAATAAAAATAAAAACGTTTTCAATAAAATAATTTTTTTTTTCTACTTCTTACCCTTCTTTCACTCTAAATACATATATATTTAGATAGATATATATATCGTAGGAGAGGTGGTGAAGAGTAAGCTATTCTACCTCTACTCATTTTGATTGAGAGTTATTAGTTTAGTGGAGTTCTTTTTCCATTTCCGGCTTGTACTTTCCTTGTACGGCAAGAGAGTTCATCTTTGCACGATGCATAAATGTACGACGGCAATGAGGAATGTTTTCATCCTTTCCAACCCATGCTTTCAGGGCGCTGTTTTGTAGTGCCCGACCGAACGTAAATGTAAGCAACCACGTGTGAGGAGTTGATGTATTATTAATGGCATTCAAGTATTCGGTAGATTGTAGTTCACTTAAACCACCTGAAAGAAATCCAACGACAGGAACAGCTGGAGGCAACACCCGCGCCAGTGTAGCTACCGTGTGAGCAGCAACTTCCGCTGCTGAGACGGTGATGCCTGATTCCGAACCAGGAACGACCATACTTGGCTTCAACATTATACCCTCCAAAATAACGCCGTGTCGATGGAGTGCCGCAATAACCTCTGACCAGACGTGTTGTGAAACTTGCTCACATGTATGAATGTTGTGAGTACCATTTAACATAATCTCTGGTTCCACAATGGGGACAAGTCCATTCATCTGTGAGAGTACAGCGTAACGAGCCAAAGTTTCGGCATTAAAGCGAACCAATGCTTCAGAAACGTTGTCATTCTGAATTCTGTAAACATTTCTCCACTTGCAGAAGCGACAACCCTTGGCATAGTACGATGCTGCTCGCGCAGCATAACCATCAAGGCCTTCAGTCATCTCTTCTCCCTCAACTCCTTCAAAAAAGGGATGTAAACCACCATCGGTATTGATACCACAAACGATTCCTTTTTTCATCAGCATATGAGGGAAGGTTTCGCCAGTAGAGGCTTGTTGCTCAACTGTCTCTTTGTGAAGAATAACACCACTGATGTACTCTTCCATGCCTGGAGTTTCCAATAGAATAACACGATATTTTCGGCGATTTTCAACGTTATTTTCAAGACCCATAGGCTTAAAACGTTCATTATATGCATCAATGGGCTCATCAGCTGCCAATATTCCTTTTCCACGTGCAGCCATCTTTGCAGCAGTTGAAATCAGCTCAGCTTCATACTTTGTTCGAATTCGGTTATAAGATGGAAGTTGACCTTGAAGAACTTGAACGACCTTGGACATTTTGATTTTTGCTTTTTAAATAGATTATATATGTTCAAACGATGTAATAAGAATAGCTATAAATTATTCCTTCTACAATAATAAATAAGAGAAACCAAAGAAAGAAAAAAAAAATACGCTTTTGTTAAACATAATAACCGTTACTTAAATTCTAGTTCTTAAATTATAATAAGAAAATAAAGAATATATATATAATCATAGGATCTGCAACAATAAGAAAAAACCTATCGTTCTGCTTGCATCATGTTTGAATAATAGTGTTGTAGAGACATTTGTCCCATGTAGCATTAAAAATAAAGATCAATATTGCATAACTTTTCCACAGATTTGGTCACGAAAAAACAATGAGCCCACAGAAAACCACGCAAATATCGTTATTTGATCACGCGTAGGATTCCAAAATGACTGTGAGTCACAACCACCGACTTGACGCCCTTTTGCATAAAGAAGTTCATGGCGTTTTCAATAGTTTTCTCACCGCTGATCTTCATGGTCTCATCCCAGTCCATCACCAGTAGGTCCATGAGTGCAAAGGATTCATCACTCTCTCCCATAGGCCATCGTTTGTTAGGGTTTGTACATTAGGAGAAAACACGATACATGTTACAGACGCTACTCACCAAAAAGTAATGGATAAACTGTTTCTTTACTAGACCTTTTCTTTCCAATAAGTTAGACCAATTCGCACATTTAATAACATAAAGGTAAGTTTCCGTTAATGCCTGCAGAATATAAAGCTACCAACTCAGCCTTATCAAGAAAAAGAAGAAATTTGTTAGTCTCACATTAGTTTTTTTTTTTTCTCTTTTTCGTTTCTATTTCTGAGAGAAGAATCCTTTCTTTTATCGCTTGAAAAATGGTTGAATCACGATAAATTCAAGTCCCCTTTGATTTATTCTTACAAACAAAAAAAAACACCTTGGCCGCACATGAGAACTCGTTTTTCTTGGAAAGACATCACGGTAGTATAGAAGAAGTATAAATCTTCCCATTCATGGAAAAAATAACTCCGGAAAGCAAAGGCTAATAACGTAGCAAAAGAAGAAACATGATCGTTAACACACAGATCCTCCCTAAAAGTAGTACGTAAAAATAAAAAAAAAGTGGAAAAGAAGGATAGAGTCCCGATTAGAAACGTCTATCTATCATTGCAGTGTACATCGGGCTATTCCTAGTACAATGGAACCCAGTGTAGAGTATGATAACCGTGTTTTTTGCTTAATATATGCGATTCATGTCTTCACTTTCTTGGCGACGTGGAATTAATCATAGATACGTTTACATTATTTAAACGGCTCTTTTTTTTGCATAATAGTAGTCAAACAATCCTAATTCATTGAACAAAATTAAGGGCCCAAAAATTCGGAAACAACCACCACATTTCTCGCCTTTTTTTTTGTGCGTGTGGGATGTGCACATGGTGGACGAAAGCAAAAAACCAATACATAACTTCGCGTGAGGAAATAAAAAAAAACCTTGAAGAATTACTTCTCGTTCCTTTATTACTGTTGTTATTGCCTTTTTTCCCCCAAGAGGAACATCAGGCGTTCGATGCATCGCCACCTGGTTACATGTGCTATCGGGTAGAAAACAAATATATATATATATATATATATATATATATTTCTTCGCCTTCGCTGTGATATGAACAAGATAGCGGAACCGCTACGATTTGAACATTTATTTAATTTTTTTTCGTAACCCCAACCCCACTGAGACGTTTAGTGTGAAGTTGTTTAATTCACCCTTGAAATCGTTAATACAAAGAAAAAAAAAAGATGATGAAAACCGTCCATCACCATTTCAGAGCGACAGCCTCTCACCCAATGCTGCTCAAATAAGTGTAGTACCTGGCAACTCAGAGGAGCTGTCACCAGATCCAAAGACAAAGGAACCCACGCGACTGAGCATACTTCCAATCGGTGAAAGAGAAGGAAACAATACAACACTCGTCAATAGTTTTGGAATCTGTTTAAGGAATTCAACAAACAAGACTCCTCGCACGACATCCACCACCTCCATCATAGAGTCACCAGAAATATCACGTAATTGAAGTGTTGGGAACTGCATAGTGGCACGATGAAGAGACGGGATAAGACTCCCAATAGGGGAGCCACGAAAGAGAACATCTTGAGGTGGACGCACACTTCTATCGTATGTAATAAGGATAGAAACTTCACAGATAATCAAAGACACAAGTTTGATTCTTTTATTCTTTACAAATTGTAACTCTTTTGCATGAGTAAAGGAAGTCGAAGAAGTATTCTTCTCCAGCGAAAAAGAATGCGGAAGACAGTGAATACCTAACTGTTGCAATTGATAAACAAGTACATCTGATACCTCCAATTCTAATTGCGTCAAATTAATTTGGGTAGAAAGAACACTTATAGAATTCCAATCTAGCCCGACATCACGAATTGTCATGTCAAAACAGAAAGGTTTCACAACACGATTTTTTTTCCCTTTGTAAGAACTTTCAACGTACGCATCTGAGACCGTACACTGTGCCGTAATTTTAGGAGATTGATAGACAAACCAGAATTCGCTTCCTTCAACTCCAAGTTGAAGAGGATGATCACCTGCATCCCGAAATGTTAATAAAACAGAAGAAGACTTGACATCCACACGTAGCATTGACTTTTCTTCTAAAGAAGCATCTTCATAGGTGCTATCACCCAACAAGAATACTCCTTTATTTATTGGTATAAGAGATAAAATCACAGTTACAGATTCACGTTGGGTTTGAACAAAAACAGTAACTCCTTCAAAAACATTTGTACTCATATTTTGGCTGAGCGGAATCTTTATCTTTGTATCACCATCATCAAGAAATACCTCGTCATTGTTTACAGATGAAGGAGTACATAGAGATACCGACATTGATTGTACAAGATCATATGTACGAGGCGTCAAATTTACTAGAGTCAAGTATGGTAGTCGAGGTGCACTGATAGCCACAACTGCAGTATCGAATAAACTTTCTTTGCGAATTTGTACAATGTGATGAGTATTTCCACACTGTACATATCCTGTCCAATCTGTATTTGATGAAAGCATTGCTTCAACTGGTTGAGAATAATCAGTATCATTTGTATTCCCTTCCCATGCAAAAGAAAAAAAATTAGTATATCCGTAGCGAGAAAGTGTAGTGTATGGTAGTACTCCAGAAGCGGGAACAAAGATAGTCTGAACCCATTCAGAATCATCTTTACTATCGGTTGGTCGAATCACATGCTTCACCAAGAGAGAACGTGTAGAATCCTTATTGACAAAGAATAATGCTGGGATTAATTCCATAAAAGACTCTTCATCAGTCTTTAGTGTACGCAAGAGGAAGGAGTGAGATACACCCATTACTTCATTGTTATCAGAAATATCACACAATATCATCCTCTCTTCAAACTCTTTCTTTACTTCAAAAGGTGTGGAGATTGCCTTTCCAGCATGTAATACTAACGGAGTGTGAAAAGGTATATAGGCAAAGTTAATTCCAGAAGCGCATGATAGCATTTCACCTCCCAATGTACCTACCGAATCACCACTTTCAGATGTTATTTCTACATCTACGAAGGAGTTATTCACTACACCAAAGACATGTCGAGGTAATACACTGTAAATTATACCCACATAAGATGAAGAAGTACGTTGTCGTTCAATACTTAGTTCAAAAAAATGTCGTCTGGGATACTGTTCATGTTTCATCACGATACTTTCACCCACTAAAGGGGGAACGGCGTCTAAAGATATGGGCTCATCAGCTACATAGTTTTTGCCGTATAAAACACATCCAAAGCGATAATTTAATTGCTTTCCAAAAGGATCATACTTTAGAGATACTAGAGTATCACCTGGTTTCACAATTGTTTCCTCAGTTATAGAATTTTCAAGAAAAATAGAAACCTTCAAGGGAAAGTGTGTGCCATTATGAATACTAGGCCTAGCCGGAGCAAGCCACATTGTAAGGCACATACCTTGTAAACGATACGTAATATCAACATAGGCCGTATTTTTACCAAAATTAAACTCCTTAAGGCGACCAATGGACTCTTCCCCACGTGATACTGCCACTTCGAAAAGATCTCTCGGTGATATCTCACTTAATAGCTCCTCAGTAGATTCAACTTTTTCATTGAGTGAGATAAGAGATATAACAACATCTGTAGAATCCAGATAACAAAGTGGAATACAAGACACCTCTTTAGGTTGAACAACTACTACTGCATCTGCATTATTTGGTGAATAGAGTTTAATCGTACAAGGTAAAACATTCATAATATGAAACGTTGTTCGGAATATCACGTGCTGTACAAGTGAACCTGATTTTACACAACTAGTCATGTAAACCTTTTCATCATTATCTAAAACAGCTACATCTACGGTTTGAAGAAGACATGAGGAGTCTTCATTTGGTATCGTAGGGTCAGCCTTCTCGAAATGATCTACTTTTCTTCCTCCAACTTCCTTCACAGAGTGAGGGAAAAGAAGTCTCTTCTTTTCTAAAGCAAGATGATGCTGCACTACTATTTTTTCAGTGGCACTTTCCAAAAGAAGAGGAACTCCCACCTCATTATCAATGTACATGGTGCACCATGGTGAAAGTCCTTCCTCTTTATGCTTTACTTCACCATGAATAAACATCATCAACGATAGCGCACATTTGACCTGCTCACTTGAGAGAGAAAGATCTAGTGGAGATATGGATACATCACAAGTGGCAGTTGAGAAATCTATTGTTCGAAGTACAACCACCAAAGTAAGAGGCTTTCGCAACAATGGCACAAACGACTGTGATGAAAATTCCCAGATTACTAAATCTTGAGCCCCGATCTGAAATTCCACAAATGTTTCCTCTGCTACTAGTCGTTTGGAACAGATGGAAATATTTGGGATAGTTAACTTTGTGAATGAAACTCCACTTGGAAGAGAAAAATCTAGTGGAAAAACAGATGTAGTAAGAAGACATATCCATTTTACAACAGGAGGTTCCTTACGTTTGCTGGGCACCACAAATGTTCGTGTTGTTGTTGTTGTTGTTGTTGTTGTTACTAAACTATTTCCTCCCAATTTCCACTCTGATATAACTCCCTGTACTGTTTTTATCATACAAAGCGGGATACTTGCCCCACCAGATCGTATGGCTACACTTAGCTTTGCGCGTTGATCCTTTTGTCTGAATGAACAATCCACGTCAACATCTAAACGAGAAAGAAGAGCATGTGGGATATTCTCTTCTATATATTCCCAACGACAACGATGTACACGGACCTGAGAAAAAATCTTACGAGAAGTTGTGATAATGTGCACATCTACTGAAGGAATGGCAACTACAACTTTACGATCAGTGGACATATCCAAATTCACTCTACCGCGATTAATATTTACGTAATATCTCTCTGTAGTTTTCTTCTCAACTTCACTTTGTGTATCATGAGGAATATCATCTACATAAGTGGCACACTCCTCACAATTATCACACACAAAGGCCGCATTATCATCTTCAACTCTTATTGTATCCTGCAGAGAAGGTAAAAAACGACAGCGGCGAAAGTACACATAGCTCCCACTACAGACAACCATTTGTACCCCTGTATCCTTAAATAAAAAAGTACAATCCTCTACAATAATAACTTCTCCTGGACAATTAAAAAACCATGGCCCTGTCTTTTCTAAATCATATTTCCCTCCTGGTACATGATTATACGTAATGATACGTTTCACAAGAAAAGAATTAGCCATATACTCCAATTCCTTCCAGAGACCAAATAAGTCATTCATTATTATGGTTCCTGGAGAAGTATTACTACCCAAACTCCATCCCTTTACTTCTAAATAAGATATGTCCTCACTCACAGTGGATGAACCATCACCACTACCAAGTTCACTATCACTTAAAACAGTACTGGAATCCCCATTAAAGAGGGTATTGCTCTGTGTATACTTTACATCACTTACTTCAAGCTTAGCGATAGGATCGGCGTGAAAATCAAAACAAGAACAAGTAAGTTCTAATGTATTAGAATCCGTTGAACCTATAATAGGATCCCAGAAATCTTGTGGAGCCATAGGTAACTTTCCTGAAAGAAATTGAATCTCTGTATACACATTTATTGATGGAAAACGTGAATGAAATAGTTCTACACGAAGGATAGGCATACTTAACGCTACAGATAGTACATCACATGCGTTTATCATAGTCAATAAGGATACATTACGCATTTCTGGTAATAGCTCTCCAAAATTTAAAGGTAATTTGGCTACTGAATTATCTACCGCTGGCATACTAATACGACACATCAAAGCATTCGTTTTATCAAAAAACACAGGGCACGATGAACCACTTAATAACAAAGCAATATCACTTAAGCTACTAAAAAACAATCTGTACGCTTCAACAGAAACCACATGATCGATAAAAAACGATATAAGCTCGTTCATTAGTTTACTAAGTTTTCCAAAATCAACAGAGGATAATCGATATATCCATATCTCTGTAATATTCATATAAATCTGTAGAGATGATGCAAGAAATGGACGAGTGGTTGTTGGAATTGCAGACAAATCCCGACGGTAAAGACCTTTCAAGGGTGTAAATTCAATGATTTCAAAAAGGTGTACTTTATCTGCTGAACAGTAGCTCAAATCTCCGCACAAAGCCATCTTCACACAGCAAAGGTTTAACAAATTAAGTGGTGATATTACTTTCCAAAAAACTTGTATCGTGTCAAGAGTTATAAGTAAACATGAGACTTCATTCTTATTGACACTTGTTACACAATGAAATCCACTAGGAAGATCAACACATAATGGTGCATTATCAAAGTAATCAATTAAAATCATAAGCGAAGAGGCATTCAGAGAAAAACCAGCAATATTATTTATTACATTCCCTTGACTAACATTAAGAGATCCAATAGTCATCTTCATTTTAAGTGGATGAAAATCACATTGAATACCAAGAAATAATACCTCCTGTGAATTTGGTAAAATGTTAAATTCATCTTTCATTCCGATTACACTCCATATATCATTTAAGGTTGCAGAGACATATTTGTTATCCCTTGTCGTTGTTACATTTCTTCCTGATTTATCTGAGTTGTGAACAGCGCTTATAGTATCAATGTAAGCATTTCGTAATCCAGAAATATACTTTAAAAACTCATCTGATACATTTATAGCGATTACAGAAACTACAATATCATCCTTTTCTTTCATTTCCACCTTAACAGGTGACAAGATAAGATCATTTTTTCCAAAGCGTAGATATACTTCTTTTAATAAAAATCCTATACGCTTTCTTCCAGATATTTCATCTACAGCGGTTAGGGATAATTTCTCGCAGAAAAACAGTAAATCGTCAATTTGAAATTGTATCAGAGGGAAAACAAAAGTGATCGTTTGTAATCTCCGATTAGATGGTATTGAAGGTGGAGTTTGTGATGATTGTGATAAAGCTGAATTTTGCTCTGGTAAGTTTGACAGACACTGTGATGTGGCAATAATAAAAGGTCTCATTATATTAAGAATATACCCAGATTCTGCCGCAAAGCGAAATTCATCTAACTTTATTCTAACCAAGACAATATCATTTTTCTCTGTACGCTGAAAAGAGAAAAATGGTTCTTCCTCCTTCACCTTGTGTAACGCCTGAGCTATGCCGTTTATCTTTACAGAAATACTTCTGATAGAAAAGCTTATCTCCTCCACACGAGTTACGAAAGCAATGTCATTTATCCACATCGTCGTTTTCGCTGGAAGGTATATACAGACAACTCGCACATCCACATGAAGGGAAGATACCACTGCCGATGGCACAACACTATTGGACTCTTGCGGTGCGTTTTCAAACCTACATTCACCGCGAGATGAACTAGCAGAATACCTCTCATAGGCTTTTCTTCTCAATAACATTACCACATCGCGATAGCGAAGATCTCTCTCTACTTCAGCGAGACTATTTCGCTTCTCCGCAACATCCCCTGTACGATGACAATAATCCAAGAGTCTTAGATACGAATTACGTGCCTCCGCATAAAAATTTAAGTGTGCGGGATTAAAATTGTAGCGTTTACGCTTTTCACGAACTAGTGAAAGAACACAATTCCTAGCATATGCCCAGTGTGAACGTTGACGGCGAAGTTCAGAGAATGGACGACAATATTCAGGAACCTCCGTCATGATTCGGTGACTAACAATACATTTAGTTAGACTTTCAAGTGCATCCTCATCACTGAACAAAGAAGTTACACCTTCAAAAATAATAGCTGTGTTTTTGCGACATAATATACCAGCATTATTATACACAGAAGTAACTCTTACAGTAAGATTTTCTACAACTATTACTTTTGTTTCTCCTTTGGGAGTACATGCATTAACGGTGATATTATTAAAGGTTATCGTAACTACTTTCATGCGTTCTGTAGATACCTGCTGTGATGGCTCCGATTGTACGAGAACTTCTTTTGCTACAATTTCAAAACGCGTCCCATTAGACGAATCACATGGAATAATAAGATTAACATCAACAAAGTGAACATGAATAGGACGATTAATTAACCAAGATACAGATTGGGAAGCTGCATTTCGAATAAAAGAAAATAATCCCCATCTTTCTTCTTCTACTAAAGGGGGTATAGTATCATCTACAAAATCAAAGGAAGAATTTGAAGTATCAGTATCACTCCGACAAGACATATAATCATCATCATCAACTTCTGGTGATTCACACATGTCCTCAAGTTCAGCATCACTTCGTAACGGAGGTGTGGCTGGTAACTCTTCTTGTTCTTCCATTTGAATATCATTCATGGTTGTTGAAGTATTTGCTACGCCAAGAATACTTTCATCGGTAATGCCATCTTGTATCTCTTCTAAACTCATTTCAACTATCCCAGTACTTTTACCAAGAGGATCTAAAGTCATGGTAACTCCATGAGGATGTATGATCAGCGGTTTATTTGGTACTGGCCATGGTATCTCAACAAGCAGATCACTAATATGTCCTGAAAGAATAGGAATAGGGAGTATTTTATTTAATGTTTCCTTACGTAAGGCTAAATCTCGAAAACGTAGAGTTCTTTGACGCAGGGAACTCTCGACATCGCTCGGTTTAACATCGGCAATTTTTGCCAAATTAGATATGACATAGGAAATAGCCTGCTGCATGACGTTCCTAAGAAACGTTAACTATTAAGATCTATGAAGAAAACAAAAGAGAAAAAAAAAAGAGAATCAAATAAGAAACAATATATCATAAAAAGTTATCAAATCCATATAAGCAGACATATTTCACTCAAAGAAAAAAAAAAACCAACAAATAAAACACAATTCTAACCACATGGATCTTTTTAAGCCTCTAGATGTCGTTACCGACAGATTGTAGAGATATAATATTTGTTTTTCTCTCTGTTTTTCCTCTTGCCAGAGTTGCACCTGTTTTTTTTTCTTTTCTTTTCCTTTTTTTTCCGTCTCCTATACCTTAATCCATACATCACCTTTCAATGAATACAGCAAAAAAAAAGCAAAGAAAATAAATAAAAAAGGAATCCAAAAAAGGTTCAACAGAAGCGTCGTGAGGACGAGTGATTAAATAGAACTGCCCTGAAGATAATAAAGAAAAAAAAAAAACCACTAAAAAAAAAGAAACAAGAATGTGATGGATGCACCCATGAAACGCTAGACCAAACTATATGGAATATCACCAATAGATACGGTGGGCGCAATAACCATCGGGGTTCTTCACCAAATATTTCTGGTGGTATTCCTCTGCGGAGTACAGACGCCCTGCCTTCTCCACAGTAGTGACAACCGTCTTGTCACCAAAGGCCTTAACAAATTCAGCACGGAGTTGCGGATCCGCTCCGTTAAGTCGCGCGATGTAATCCTCCGCCTCTCGTTTTTGTTGTTCATCGTGATAGAATATCGCACTACGGTACTGTGTGCCAATATCACCAGCCTGGCGATTCAATGTTGTCGGGTTGTGCATGCGAAAGAAAAAGTCCAAAAGATTTGCGTACGAGACCTTTTCAGGATTGTACATCACATGAAAAACCTCCGCGTGCCCTGTATTTCCCTTCTTGACCATTGTATAGGTTACTTCATCCGCGTCCTCACCCCCCATGTACCCAACTTGATAAGAAAGAAGGGCATCACCAAAACGCTTGACAAAATAACGCTCCGTTCCCCAAAAGCACCCGGCAGCAAAAGTAGCAGGTACGCCAATACTCATTTTCTTAAGCGAAGGAACAATAAAGTAAATAAATATATATATTTCTTGGATTTAAACAATAGCTCTAAATCAGAGATAAACAATAGGGTATAAAGAATTATTAGGGGTGAAAAAAAAATGGTACAAATTTTTAATTTCATGTACAACATAGAGTACGCCAATGTATAATTAATAACAAATGAATGCATCACTTGGCGTCATAATATTTTTTTTTCACGTTTTTTTTTTTTTTTGTATGTGTGTTTTACCTCAGCATTCATTATCTCTATGTAATTCTTGTTTTGTTCTTAACAACACCACCACTCCCCTCCCCTCCCCTCTCCCATCTACAAGGTATAAACCTCTGCAAAGAAAAAGAGAGAGAGAGAGAGAGAGAGAGAGAGAGAGAGTAGGGGAAAAAATAGTTTTCCTCTTAGTTAGATTTCTTTCGTAATCGTCGAAGTAAAAATCGTGTGAAGGCACCCAAAGCTACAGCAAAAGTTGTTACGATTACAACTCGCCTCAGTATGCGCGTGGGCGTTAGGGGCGGGTTAGCGATAGCAATTTCTGGTTCCTTTGCAATAGCATGCATATATTCATTGAGGGCCACAATCTCAGACTCCTCAGGATCTTCTACGCTAGTTACCACAGGTGGCCAAAGGAGTTGCTGCTGTCGGCAAAAATCTTCCAATATTTTGTTTGCTTCTGCATTTTTTTCTGTTTCCACAGTAGCCTCAGCTTTTGTCATTACAACTACAAACGGCAAATTAGAAGAATGTAGTAGTGATGATTTAGCCTCCAAATATACGCGCATAATTGGTAGTGAGGTTTCCTCCACCTGAGTTCCATCGTAGCAAAGAAGTACCACATCTACCTGTTTTGACAATGTTTCATTCTCCATTATACGTGAAACTTCTTCAAGAGGCACTGCAACATAAACCACCGTTTGTGGAACTTCTTCATTTCCATTTCTTACAAAGAATGTTGTAGTTCGTACATATATATTACTAGCTGGTCCCTCATCTTCGTAAAACTCCTCATCCTTAGCGGTCAAAGTGAACATTAGACTTCTTCTTCCACAACCCGGGGAACCAACAACAAGGACTTGAATCGTATTAGGAACTACTTCACCCATTTCACGAAATGGACGTGCATGTCGTAACAAAAACAATGGACTTGTATCCCCTTTGTATCCCCAGTATCGAGCGTATTGAACAACTACATCTCGTTTTACCAACCCCATATATTTCCAGTACTCAATAAATTTATCCAATGGTATACGCTTAGTTAGAAAACCATTGATATGTTTCCATGGACAACCAGGGGTAACACTCCAAATGTCATCCAGTTCGTGAAACCGACGAAGTTTGTACAAATTTCGAAAAAATTGAATAGCAATATGTGAAAGATAAGTATTACTCTCTTTACTCACACGAATCGCATGAATATCTCTCCAAGAGTAAGGTAATCCATCAGGGTGAACTCCAGTTACATGCAATGTCGCCCATACTCGTCGTACATCTCCTTCAAGGAGATATGTTTTTTGCATATTTAGAAAGAGTTCATAATCTATTGAAATGTAACCCGAATGTGAGGTACCATTATTAAACAATTCAATAAGATCATTTTTAGAAAAAGATGCCGATGTAATAGATCTTTGCCATGCAATAAGCTCTTCCTCATTTAGCATACCATCATCATCCTTATCAAGAAGCCAAAAGGCACGTCGTAGTGCTAAATCGCCCGTTTGCGTAAACGTTTTCAGCGTCTTCTCCCAAATTACATGCGGAGGTGAAAGACCTATATCTACAACTGCAGATCGGAGACTTGCAATGGTGTGCATACCATAATAGAAGTCACACTCTTTTACCATACTCAATACACTTTCTGGAGTTCCTTCAATTGACACAGTTGGTTTATTCCTAAAACTCTTGGCACTTTGTGGACATACCGCCCCACGTGTGAGAACCACCAAATGACACATCGAAAGAAGACGACTATCGACATCATCCACTCTTGGAGCAGAAGTACAGGAAATGTCATAGCGACGGTTCCAAGCATAATTGGTATTCTCCACACAACCACCAAGTACTCCCTCCACTCTGTGGAAATCCGTTCCACAGATTAAAACATGAATAGTTGCCAACACCATATATATATGTATGTCTCAAAAACCCCAGTTTGTCACCTATATATATAATAACTATATCTATAGTGTAAAAAGGTATCCCCAACACAGCATGAGGAAAATAGAAAAAAAAACCAACAAAGAAAAAAATCAACAACAACAACAATAACAACAACAATAAATAACATTTCCATTCTTCTTTATTACTACCATGGGATTTTTTTAAGGTTTTTTTTTTTTCAATAATATGCTTGTATTTCGCGAAACGGGTGAAGTATCACTCTTTCATCCATTGCAAAGTTTCCTCTCCCTCTCTCTTTCTCTCTGTTTATGAACATATCGAAAAATGGAAAAAAAAAAAACAAAAGAAGAAAAAAAGAGTACTGCGATCAAATAACTATTTCTTATCTCCATCTCCTCCTTTTTTAGATTCCTTGTCATTTGTGTTACCACTGGTATCCTTTGACTCCTGCTCATTTTTAAGTTCATTCTCAACCTCACGCGCAAAAGCGTCCTCCTCAGGATGTGTAGTTGGATTGGATTCCTCTGGGCCCCGAGAGGCCTTTTGTGCCTCCTCTAATGACATTTGCAAGGCCCGCGCAAGCATTTCTTCCTCAGAGAGGTTTTCCAGATTTTCCGCCTCTGCCTGCGGAGTAGAAGTCGCATTTGCTCCTCTGTTAGCGTCAGACGCAGCGGCGGCGGCAGCAGCAGCAGCCACAGCAGCCTGACGCTGTTGTTCCTCCTCCAAAGACATACGAATGGCCATCGCGAGCTCTGGATCGGTGGAGGGGTCTATACCAAATCCCTGGAACTCATTATGACCCTCAGCAGCGCTTTCAACGGCATCACTACCCAAAAATATAGGGCTGGACATTAGTGAGTCAGTGAGATTCGTAGACACGGACACATTGAGAAAATGTGAATTCCCTCGTTTACTTAACTTTTCCACAAATGCCGCCAATCTTGGAACATTAGACTCAACACCAATTCCAACAACATCAACTGAGACATCGTCTTTTCTTAGTTTTCTTGCCAAAATATCAAGTTCTTCATCTGTCTCAGTAAGTGGAGTGCCAATAAAAGCAACAATACGTCTCTCAGCTCTTGGATTGGTCCGATGACTGAGAGCAAGACAGGCAATTTGCAGACCCTTTGAGAAGTGACACTGTTTCCCACTGATACGAATCTTTGTCAGACTTGCCATAACACGATCCACATCCTGCGTAAGCGTTTCAAACACCGTACAAGCATTTCCGCCAAGTGAGAGAAAACCAACAGTATTTTCAGCGTTCATCTGAATTTTGGCATTGACTAACAGATTGGCCGCCTCCTGCATTGCGAGAAAGCGATTCGGAAACTGGTCACCATTCCGTGTAAACTCCGTGGAATCTAGGCAAAGAAAACAGGCTTCTGGCATTACAAATAGCTACGGAAATGAGAAACTCAACTGTAAAATATTTACTGATACAAATATGTACCTATACAGAAATATCTCAATACGTGCTCTTATCTTCCTTTCTCCTGTACTCTTGTTGTAATTGACGTTGACTCTGTGTTATATATTTTTTTTTTCTTTTTATTTCCTTAGTTCTTGCTGTTTCTTTTAGTGGAATATAACGATGTACAATTTAATTTAATTTATAAGAGAAAAAGAGAAAGAAAGAATGAAAGAAAGAGAGAATATAGTATAGACACAGACCCTCATGACTATTTAAGGAAAGAATCCCAAGTGAAAAAATTCGGGATTTGTACCACCAACAAATACTCTACCACAGAGTAAGAATAAGTAAAAAAATAAATAAATAAAAAAAAAAACATTCTGTTCCCCTCCACATCACGCTATCTTCGTTTTCGTAAGTGTCTCCGCCAGTAAAAGATTGTAAGCACTAAGCGCCTCTTTGGCCTGCTCTCGCACCAGAAAAAGTGAAGCTGATTTACGCCATAACAATAATTGCTCCTCTGCAATTCCAACTGCAGGATCTGCAATAATGGTAGCTTGTAATGCATTATCATGGCCATTTTTTTTATTTAGTTTACTAATAACGTTTTCAACGTAATTCAATGCACTTCTTAGATCTTCAGCTGTATGTAGTTGTCGTTTATCTCGAAGAAGAAGGTCCCTCAGTGCCTTTGCTTCCCTCTGCATAATAATATCTCCGCTACTCAGTGTGTTCACTTTGGCTTCATCACTTAATTTCCTTATACCCTCACAAATAACATTAGGTGCCCTATCGGCACGATCTCGCTGAAACTCCAGAAAATGCGACACTGCCGCTTCAATAGCTTTATCAAGTTCCTCCATACAAAATACAAAACTCAAGCTGCACTCATTTATAGTAGATGGTGCACTAATGTTGGTGAAATCGTTAATGACACTATCACATACCACTTCAACAAGAGGTTCTGCTATTAGTAATTGCCTAATAGATTCAGCTACACGATGAATTCCAACGCGATCCCCATGTTCAAGAAGAAGTGAAAAGTTATGAACTTTACTACAAGCAACATCAAATGAGATGAATTTACGCATTTCTTTGGTCATATATTGATAGTGACTTGTAAGACCTTTTAGTATACCAAGAGCTTCTGGAAGTGCCTTTAAATAAGAATACATCTCCTTATTTGTTTGCTTGTACCGTTCAAGTCGATCATTCCATAGTGTATCTACAGTTTCATGAAGAAGTCCTATTTCGTGTTTTTTCTTTCGTAGATTTTCAGCTTCTATTAATCGTGTATTATCTAAAGAGGAGAGTTCCTCTAGAATACTAGCATACTCATTATCAAGTACGGCTCGACGTGATTCAAGACGTCTCCAGCGTGATGTAAGCACAACAACTCCTGTTACAGCAAAACCACTTGCAACACAAGCGGCGCCTACTAAACCACGGAAAGCCATTAAATTACTTTTCACCCACACTCGCACACAAAGTCAGTAATATATATATATATTACCAGAACAAATAAATAAATAGAGAGGGAGATAAGAAAAGAAAAAAAAAAGAAAAAAGAGTAAAGAGTAAAGGAAAATCAAAACAATTGAAATATATATATATATATATATATATATATATATTACTAGTATAAAGATAAAAGTATGTCTTGCATAATGATACAATATCATTGACAATATCATTTTCTTCGTTTTTGTTTTCCATGTTAGGAGAGAAAATATTAACTCCAGTATTTTCCTTTCCCTCTAATTCTCTGGACTACAATTTTGGTGGAGGTAGTACTGCAGTGAGAGAGTAGAGGTCATGGACAGCCTGCTCAAGTGTGTCAGCGTAAACATTGCAGACGGATATTTGTTTCTCCTTTTCGATCGATTTTATTCCGCTAATCGGTCGTGCAAAACTTTTATATGATGAACATGTGAATGTTAGAATTTTAGGAAAAAGGGAATAGCCAATCCCCACCCCATTTGGGTGAGTTGCAGCAAAAGAAAAAGATGAGATACCATTAGCCGTAATATTTGAAGTTGAGAGATAATCACTTGATAACTCTTTCAGTGCTGAAGAAGCAAAAAAATACGATTCCACAGATTCCGCAGCTTGAACCAATTTCATATCAACGTTAGTTTTTTCCATACATTGCAGTCGCTCTCGAACTTCATTGTGAAGGCGACGAAGTAGAGTGGCAGCTCGATGAAACCCCTGTCCTGCACGACACACCGAAATTCTCTTTCGATGCTCTTTGCTTGATTTTTGTAATGCTGCCGCTATAGATGAGTTAAATATATTTTTATTATCTACTGATTCCATCATGAGTGCTAATTCCTGTGTAGCTCTTGTTACTGTTCGTAGTGTTTCGGTCCGCCCATGGTGGTATTTCTTCATCATCAAGGCACAATAAGTGGATCGTTGATCTCCAAAAAGACGACGTTGAGCAAGATGAAACGCAGCGTGCACAAAAGCATCTGGACTAACACGACAGTTTTTTTTAATTTCATTTGTACCAAAAGCACGAATATGTCGTACAGTTAATTCAGTTTGCTCAACTCGCTTCTGATGATCGCATCGAGTATTTGCAATAGATTTCAGTACAGTGTTAGAAAGAGTTCCAAAACATACAGGTTTTACATGATCTGAGTAATCAGAACAAATTAAACCTTCTATTCGTTTAACTGTTAATTTTTCATTAATCAGCGATGTGGCGTAATGATGAATAGTACTACAAACTAATATCATAGTACCACCGTCACCCCATGAATGCTCCATGTTGCAACTAGCCCCACCAGAAGGATCAACTGTATACATTACATTCATATCAGGATAACGATTTTCTGGATATTTACCTCCATGTAATGCGAGAGAGAGATCTGTTTCTTCATCAAGAGCAATTGCAAAGCTACAAGAGGTAATAGCATCTAGTGCATCTTTTGATACAGCATTTCCCCAGAGTTCCTCAAAGGCGTATGCCCAAATACTACGGGATCCGCTTGCCAGAACTAATGGACTCTCTATGTTTGCAGGCAAATCAGCTGTCTTGTCTATCACAGTTTGAATAAGACGAGCATTACAAACAATTTCTTCTAACCAGTGTGGTCCTAAAAGGTTAACATTATCTGAATCCTCAAAGTGAATCCAACTCAATATAAAGGCATAACCCTTGCGAAGCAAGAGTACCTTGTTCGTATGAGACCAACGTAATCCATCCATTCCAAGATGCGGAATACGCACCGTTCGAAAAAGACGATTGTATTGATCACGGCACAAGGTCAAATCTACACGGCAAGATCTTGGGAGGCGAGACTGGGCTTCAGAAGAGAAAAATAAAGGTTGCTCCACGAGACGACGAACTTGAAATGATGCGGCTCCTATGACTGCAGCTCGCAAAGCCTGTGAAGATACATTCATCTGCTGCGCGACTGTCTCTAGGGAAGGCCCATCAAGATGCAGCATGTAGTTCCACCCGAGAGGTAATGGTTCCCTGTTTCCAAGATACATGGCATTCCAGAGTGGGGCCATGTGGGATGTGCGAAGTGTGGTATTACAAAAGTTTTTGTATTCTCCAATAATAGATTCTAAAAAACGAAAATACTTTGCTATAGTACGAAATTCAGGCGATGTTGTATTTTCATCATCTTGCAGAGATTTTAACACCTCTTGAACAAAATTAATACTAGATTGCTTATCTTTGACACCATCTAGGGGTTCCAAAAATTCAATATAGCGTTTTAATAAGGTGGTGAGATTCGGTAGTGGAAGCTGAGGACAGTGAGTATCTGTTTGCTTAAGTGACGATGTTTCTGTTGTCATAATAATTCACCACAATTGTGAGATAGAAACTTAAATAATAAAATGTTTATCCTGTATTCTTTTTTTTTTTTTTCTAAACCTTTTAACCGAAAAAAAAAAATAAAAAATGGAAGAATAAATTAGATTATAATCCTCTTTTTGACATTATGTGTTGGAGTCAAAATATAACCTCGAAAAACAACGTAAACTCTCAATAGTGAAAAGGTTAGATTAGAAACTCAAATAAAAAGGGTATTCATTCATTCATTCGTTAAAGGGTGAAAAAAAAAATACCCACAACAATACGCTTCACGCGCGTCCTATCCTATCAATTCACTTCCCTACGCGTAATTCCCTAATGCCACTCTTTCCACTAACACCAACGAAATGTAATTCAACAAACACAACCCATCTAAAAAAAAAAAACCTACGAGAAGAGCATCAGGAAGGCCAACATCAGGGCAAACAGACCAATAGCCTCTGTAAGCGCGAAACCAAGAATGGCGTAGTTAAACAGCATCTTTGTCAGGTTTGGCTGGCGGGCGCAGGCGACGAGGAGATTGCCAAAGATGGTGCCGATGCCCAGACCCACACCGGCGAGGGCGATGGCCGCCAGTCCGGTGCCGACGTAGTGAAGTCCCTGAACGGAGATGGCCACCGTAGAGGCCCGGCGCACCGCCAACGCGGAGGAGACCGCAGTGGGAGTGGCCGCCACTCGGCTCACGGGCTTGGCAACAATACGGCGGAGCATATTATGTTTTTTTTTTTGTGTTACTTCTAAAATCGATGCGTGAAAGGCAGAGATATAAACACACAGAGAAGAAAAAAAAAAGAGAGAAGCAAGAACATAGTGATGCATACATATAAAAAACTTTATTTTCTTTCATAGTCAATGGGGTTCATCTAATTCCCATATCAAAAATTTTACCTTTATTACGATGTCAGACATAAACAGGAAAAGATAAAACTTAGACGTCACTTTTCTAATTGTTACAAAGAAAAACGAATAGAGAAAAAAAAAACAATTCCAATATTCATTTTATTTAGCAGGCTTCTTCACCTTTGGTGCCATATTTACAATGGGTGTAGATTGAACTTGCGTCTTTGAGCGAAGTTCATTGGCAATCGCCTTTGACCGCTTCTTCTGTGCACGTTTCGCATCCATAGCTTCCTTTGCGGATGTAGCGTGTGTCTTCGCCCCTTGTGCACGCAGTTTTGCCTCTTGGCGGCCTTGGTTCACACGCGCCTTGTTGCCACCTCGTGTAATCTTTGCAGAGTGTCCCATCTTATTAGACTTCTTCTATGATGTGCAGAGGGAGAAAGAAAAGAAATATATATATATATATATATATATATATATATAGAAAGAGTATACACAGAAAGGAAAGAGAGACTATAAATTAAGAAAAAAAATAAAACGAATAAGGATGCAGTGTAAAGCAAAGTAAAAGCAAATCTTTTTTTTTTTTCGTTGTTGTTGTTGTTTTACCCGTGATGAGAGCTTAACAATAGAGCAGACACACTTTGCTTTAAACCATATCTCCTTCTCCGCGACGAATTGCTCGTTTCGCCTCTTGTTCCTTTCGCTTTTCCTCCAGCTGAAGCTCACGTTGGTAGTCTGCCCATTGTGAATTTTGTAAGAAACGCATTTCCTCCAAGTAGCTACTATCATGTCTTTGCTGTCTGAAGCTTTCAAGGGACACACCTTCTGCCTTTAACTCAGAAGAGAGATGCTGCTCCCAGCTCTGCAGAGACTTTGCAATAATGCCTGACATGGATGATCCTCCGCGTGCATTAGATACAGTATTATCACTGCTGCGCTGCTGCAATGCGTTAGGATCATTATTATTGTTAGTCACCATAGTATTAGTGGCTGCTGCTCCGAGCATCACTCGTTCCCGTTTTTTCCGCCGCACAACAATGTTGCTTCGCTCTAACTCTGCACACTCGTGCTGGCAAGGGACTGTATCCCGCAGTGTCTCCAATGCTGCATCCTCCAAGGGAAGTTTAAAGTTGCGGCAAAACATGGGATTCGAAGCGGACAAGAAATCGTCAAAGCTCTGCGTCCGTGCAGGATCCTCCCGATTGCGAAGAGAAGCAAGAAGCCGCGCGAAAAGCAACGCATTTGAAAAGGTAGAGAGCAACAGACCATCATCAGCATCGAGAGCACCTTTACGAAAGGTGAAGGGATCCACATTTTTTCCATCGTCTATCGCTGTAGTGTCTCCAACTTTGCGCTGAGAAATCAATCTGCGAAGTCGTTGCTGTCGTTCCATAGATTCCACTGCCAGAGCATCACAACCGCCCTTCGCAGGTACTTCTCGTGCCTTCCCAGAAGCATTAGATGATGATGATGATGATAACGCAGTGCTATTACTACTACTAACACTACTGCTACCACTACTACTACCAACACTACTAGTGCTACTGCTGCGACTGCTGTGAGATGCGGTAGAGGTGGTATCACTGTCACTGCCATTCCCATTAACTTCTGTATCATCGTGGGAGGTTGAGGATTCCCGCGATCGCGGCATTATTCCTTCCTCGTTTTCTTAATCACTACCGGAATAACAAAAAAAAAAAAAAATAGAAAAGAAAAAGTATCAACACCTAAAAATAGAAAAGGTTTCACAAATGAACAAATCGTAGAATAATAATAATAATAATAA